AAGCAACTATGTGTTTTCTTTACACCATTTGATTTATCTCATTATTCTGTTCACAAAAGTATTAAGGTACGATAATCAAAAAGTCAACAGTTTACGAGTTATTTAACATTGTGTGTCAAAATGTACCAAAATAAAGTGTAAAATATCTCGAAAATTATTGGTTTTTTGGTATCTCTACCTTAATACTTTTATGCAAAATAGTTAGAGGAATCACGTTATCTAAAAAAAATTACATAATTCCATTTAAAAAAGTGGAGGTGACCTTCATATCTTTTTAGCGCCTCCACTTAGAAAAAAAACAATATGACTAAAATGTGTCCCCCTCGACACCATTCCATTTTTATTTGAAACATTTTTTTATAGCTGGCGTATTTTAGGAGATATTTCGACCGATAGATTAAAATGGGACACCCTGTATACATATATATCTGTATTATAATTCTTATTTTCCTGTCTCTACTCTCATATACTTGTTAGTTATGGTTGGGTAAGTTACTTTTTTTTTTTAACTTTGTAAGTTAAGTTAAAGTTAACAATCTTGAAAATTTTATTTAGTTAAGATACAAGTTAATGTATAATGAAATTAATTGAATTAAAAGTCAAGTTAATAAAAAAATGTAATTGAAAAGTTAAAAGTTAAAAATTCATTTTTTTCATGATTTCAGGGTTTCAGTCTTAATAATAACGGAAGTGACAATAAAAAGAAATTTAGATTTTAGAACATATGCAAAATTTTTATCATATTAATTTTTTTTATAATAATATGTTTTGTTTCTATATATACTCGGTTTTGTATATATATATATTGTGACCGTACTTTTGAGGAACGGCACAACTTCGTCACTTCATCCGTTGCTCTATTTACGTGATAGCTCAAAAAGATGGACACAATAATGTAATTAGCAAAAGTGCGGTTCTTCCTTAAATTTTATATGCTACGATATTCGAGCCGTACTAATTTTCGTTGGGCGCCAGGCACGAGAGAGCGTGCCACTCTTCGCACTAAATTAAGATGTTACGCTCCGACAAAGAAATTACAGAGCAACGGAATTCGCGACGGATAGGCTCAGCTAGCTCAGCCAACGAAATTGGCAGAGGGGGTGGTTCGCGATGAGCGGGGAACAATGTCGGAGAACGAGGTAGAGACAGACAGAAATAATCAGACAGCAATTAATATTAACAATGACAAAGAGTTTCCTATTTATTCAATTCGTGTTGATACATGAGTTGACGTAATGTACAGAATGCCGCGGTCGCGCATCGACGACGAGTTTGCTTTATTACAGAAGGAACGATAGCAAGGTCGTCGATGGCGGTACTTAGAAATGTCCGGCTCTCCGAACTTTCCGCAAACCGACAGCCTAATTCTGAGCGGTAACACGCGGCTCGACTCTAATTCTTAAACAACCGAAATCTCAACAAATAATACGACAATATGACTTGGCAGTGACACGGGCGAGCAATAACGATAACTCTGAGCACGTAAATTCCTTAATTCGAGCGAACGGCCTGCGTAGATAATAGCAATGGCGCTAACTTCCGCCGGTACGACATCGGCTGAATCAAACCCGCGAAACTCACACACGCGGCTCGCTCGAGACGCTCACAAAATATTACGCGATCGGTGGCTTTACAATACGATTAATAACGCTCGCCTCACCAAGATTTCTCCTCTCCACTTCCTTCAACGGCTTCCTCGATAGCCGACAGCGATGCTCTTCCACAGAGAATGTTCTCGATAACTTCAACCGAGCTCGGCGAGATCTTGCGTCCTTCGTGAGGGCTAGTCACTGCACAAGTGCCGATCGGAAGTACTCGCGGATTCACGCAGGTCGTCAGGCCCTCTCTTATCGGCCTCTGCTCCTCTAATTGGTTCGCCGCGACCGCGTGACTCCGCGACGAATCCCACGGGTCCTCGCGTGTCGCGGATCCTTTTGCGCTATGGCGCGCTTTTCCAAATAAGGCGGAAAATGCTTTCTGGTCGCTCGAGGATCTTCCAGTGATCTTTATGGGATACGGCGCTTCGGCGGAGGTCCTGCCTGTTAATTCGTTCCCAGCTGACGTCTCTCTCCGAGGCGTCTGCAATAATCGTGCGATAATTTACAGAAGAATGGCGACGTTACAGTAACAAATATGAAATAATACGACCTGCGTGTACCGCTCTTTCCGTGATTCCAGTCAAATTCCCCCGACAGTAATGTCTCCCTCGCAGTAGGCGATGCCTTCTTTCTTCTCGTGATAGGTGAGGCGGTCAAACAAAATATATATTGTGACGTGACATTTTGTCAGTCACCCAGAAAAACAGCATAATGCGAGATCCTGGGTCCTTCAGGGTCAACGGGTGAGCGCATAAGCGAATGTGCGACATTATTATTTAATTCTATTTCATTTTTGCGATTATTGTATTATTTAATTGATATTCTCTTTGTGCGATTGTTGTATTATTTTCTTTTTTTTCTTCTCTGTGTCGCTATTTAGTTAAGTTTTAGCTAACCTTAAGACGATCCTGAGCTCGGATTTCATTATTAAGTACGATCAAAGCCGGTGGCTATTTTGTCTCTCTGTGTTTGACCGCCTCACCTATCACGAGAAGAAAGAAGACGTCGGCTGCTGCGAGGGAGACATTGCTGTCAGAGGAATTTGACTGGAATCACGGAAAGAGCGGTACACGCAGGTCGTATTATTTCATATTTGTTACTGTAATGTCGCCATTCTTCTGTGAATTATCGCACGATTATTGCAGACGCCTCGGAGAGAGACGTCAGCTGGGAACGGATTAACAGGCAGGACCTCCGCCGAAGCGCCGTATCCCGTAAA